AAATGTTTTTAAATATTTAGCTATCGTAATTCTATAACTATTTATAGTAAAAGTGTTTGATATGAATCATTTCAAAGCCACATTATCCAAGTGATAATTGGCAGTTTTATTTAATGTAATTGCCAGTGATTTCCTTCTTAGTGTTATAATTTCGTCAAAATAGAAGGACTCGGGCATTTCTCTTTTCAAAACTGAGGACATTCACCCACATTTGTAAGAATTGGCTTTGTTGGCTATTTCTGTTAAAATTCAAACAACAACAGAGAGCATATTTGAAATTTGAAAGGTGTCTAGTAGTATCTATTTGTAAATATAATTTTACTTCTCTTTACCTTGTAGCAATACCGAGAGAGGTATGATACTCGATATGAAAGTCACAGCAGAGGGAGTCCTGTGGTGTGTGGAAATTGCACAGTGTCAGGATGTAAATGTATAGGAGAGAAAGGATCTCGGGTACGTATAATTATTAGTAATAGCAACGCACTTATATCTAGCCTGATTTTCTCTACATAACGCCACTAGGTGGCGAGTTTCTCACTTTGGTCTTATACATGTTGCTCGTAGATGTTAAAACATATAGATAAAAAAAGAAACAAAAGGAAAGGAAACTAGGTAGAAGTCTAAACTACTATTTGTTTTTATTGAAATTTTATATATATATTTTTTTTCAATAAACCAATTCGTTCAATTCTGGAACAGTGAGTGTTTTCAATTAATTTATGGGATAAGAGCACTGCTTGTATTGTAGGTTAATTAATGTATTGCAAAATAATAGCGCAAAGTGGTAACTTATTGTAGTGTAGATGAAAAATTTTCTCGTCATGAAATCATTAAAGCTCGTAAATGTGTTGTTTTGAGCAAACAAAAGTATATTTAAAACGTCTACATAACTGTTTTTTTTCTTTCATTCATGTTATGTTGTACTATGCTATAAAATTAGTTTTATGGACTGTAAATTCACAGTATTAATGCTTACAAAACATAGCATAACATTTTACGACCTTTCAATCAAATTGTTTATGGATATTATAAATTTGAGTCAACTTACTATTTTTTTATGGAACGGTTAATGTAGAATTAAATGCTTGGTAAAAAAAAATATTAGTTTTTTGTTCTTTAAATTACTTTTCACTTGTTTTTCTTTATTAAAAATATACAAACTTTTTTTCTCTAATTATGAATTATTTGTTGTTAAAATAAAGGTGTAAAATGGGCTATCTGTGCTTTGACCATTGCGGGTATTGAAACCTGCTTTTTAGCATTATAAGCCCTCAGACTTACGTCGAGCCACCAAGGGAATAATTATGGAACAATGAATATGTATCTATATATAAGATACCATATGACTTGATAAACTGATTTTGCAAAGTATGAATTTGATAATCTAATAAAATGCATCTAGAAAATTTCATTGTATAGCTTACATATGTTATTAATTTTCAAAATATATCCTAGAGACTACTGTATTTTAAAATATAAGTTCAAAGAATATTTGTTTTTCAAAAGGGACCTCCTGGCCCAGTAGGACCTATAGGAGAACGTGGTCTACAAGGGTTTCCTGGAATGGAAGGGCTCCCAGGGGAAAAGGGTGATAAGGGTGATGTAGGACCTCCAGGACCACGAGGTCCAAAGGGAGACAGAGTAAGATTTTGTTTCTAATATTTTGACAATAATATTTCTAAATATAAGTATATTTATGTTAGTAGCTATGTAAATGTACTGATAATTTATTATTAATAGCATTCCTTTAACTTTAGGAAAACTGTATTGTTTTCAAGTGTATTTCAAACAGAAATATTTATTCATGATTGAGAATTTATTTATAATCGTTACATTTTTTATCACATAAATGTTTATAAACTAGTTACTGCTTTGAGTAGCAATATAGTACTTAATACTTTACAGAAATAACAAATTATTTATTCTGTTAATGTGAAGATACTAAATTAGGTACATAGATATTTGTGTTATTTTTACAAAATAATTACTTTTCACTTTTTGCCTCAAGTTTTTAATATAAATCTATTAATTTAAGGTAGTAACTTATGATTTGTTATTTATTGTAAACACAAACTGATTATATCAAATCTGGTTAGAAACTGTACATCAAAGTTTTAACCAACTATAATTATAGCTAATATTAACATAAGCACACACACACATATATATATATATATTATATAATTGAAAGAGCTGTTTTTCTTAATCAAATTCAATTTTAATTGTTCTTGATTCAGAGTATGATTCTTTATTAAATAAATATACATGACTGTTTCATTTAAATTTAATAGGAGAGTTATGTTTTAGGTAGGTTTATTTACGTTAACTGTTTACGAATCATTTGTTGTATAGTTCAATTGTTGTGAATTGACGTCATGGTACTAAACCTTCTGAAATTTTCTCGTTGCTAGAAGTGAGTATTGTTACATCATAACCTCTCGTAGTTTGTAGAAAGTTATAGACCTCAGTGGGCAATATAAATATATTTATAGGCGACCAAGTTAGTTAGAAAGAGTAAAAGTAAGTTAGTGAAAGTAAACGTGAAAAAAGTGAAGCTAGACTGGAGTTTAGCCGTAAAGTGTGTATAGTGGCGACTTTTTAAAGTGTAATAATCGTAGATTATATTGTAATAACATAGTACAGAAGAATAATTCGTCTTATCAATTGGGTTTCAACAGCCTATGTGGATTTTTGACATAATAGAGAATTATTTAAAGTTCTGGCTAAAACTGTGGTGACCCACAGAGTAATGTAAGTGAACTTGTTGCTGATTGTATTGTGATAACAGAGTAGAGAAGAATAATTTGTCTTGTAAAGGGTGTTTTAAAGTAACGGAACCTGACTGTGTGGACTTTGACGAAAAAGAGACAATTATTTGAAGCTCTAGATACAAATGAGATAGGAAATGATAAAAAGATTCACATATTGGAGGACTCTCTGATTAAGTATACTGGCAAAGTTATTTGTAGTTGGAAGTATAGAGATTCAAGAACTAAAATTCGGATTGCCATGTGCTAAATTACAGGACATTATGTAGCACATTGACAGTTTAGTTGTTGGCACCAAGGAGAACTTGGATACTGGAGCAAATTATATTGAAAATTGCATCACTAGAGAACTCCTTCAGAGGTTTAGGTATGAAAATGGCTGTGTGGCCCTTTCAAAAAGCTTCCTTGACTAGATATGGGAAGGAACTAATTAACAGGGTCCAAGGCTTAAATGAAAGATAACCAGGGATATTCTCAGAGCAGCAACAGGTGGGCTGGTTGAGCCTGTGTGACAGTTGTCTGGGTAAGGGTGAATTTTATTCCAGAAATGGGTTCCAATTAAGTTGATTAGGCAGCACTGTGTTTGAGGAAACTGAAAATGTTAATTAGCATTAGTTTAAACAAAATAAGCATGATAGTGAAAAAATGTGGGAAAAATATTGATAGAATAGCTAGGGCAAAGAGGAGATTTGAAAAATATTTAAGAGTGTAACAAGTTAAACATCAATTAAAAATAAATACATATGCCAGATTTATAGAAAAACACGGTAGATTAAAAAATATGCTTAGGTAATATCAGTTTATTCAGGAGTGTTAATAACAATATGTTTGGCTTCAGGGTTCAAGTTGAAATGGAAGACTATTATATAATGGTAGTGACTAAAACTTGGATATATTTGGAAACATTGGCAATAGGGATTATTTTTAACTTCCAGGTTATAAATTGCTTAAAAGTGTTTGATATTTTAAAGTAGGGGAATGAAGGGGATTTTTATATCAGGGATGAGCTACATTCTGTTTGGATTGAAGAGATAGAAAAATATAGTCAAGAGTTTGAATGTATATGGGTTATAATAAAAGAATTCAAAGATTGAAAGTCTTTAATTGGCAGTTGTTTTAGGCAACTTGATCATACAGATGATGTTGTGGTACTTTAGGGATAAACCTTTCTCACAAACAGAAGATTCGTTGATCTAAGGTGCAGGACAGATGTAAATATTTGTTCTGGATGAAATGAAAGAGACAAGGCACAGAACTGAATTAAAGATAAAAATAAAACACTTCATGTTATTGTAAAAAAGAAAGGAAAGTACAGGTGTTCAATGATGCAGAAAAATACTGATGCAATAACTTACCTCTTCTCGTAAAACAGCTTTTTTCTATTTGTATTGCCCTTTATATGTGCAAACCTTTCGACTGCCACTAACCTTTAAATTCCCACTAATCTCCACATATTTTGCAGCATGCAAATAAGCATGGGACAATCCTCCCCAATAGGAGTGCGACACACTCTCCTAGCACAGCTGACTCCCTCTATGCAGTAGAACCCAATCTTCACTTCTCAGTTTGGCACAACAACGTTTATTAACTTATAAAATATTTGAGACTTCAAAAATGTCTTCATTAATTTTTTTTCAGATTTGAATTTCTTTTTGCTTGGATTTTAATAACAACTTGAAATGCGATTTTTAGTGTAGTTCAAGTGAATTTATCGGCTGAGTGTATTTCGGCCCTTGTGCGATGCAAGATCTCTTCCTTTGTGAGAGCCAAGAGGTCTCCTGACCATCAACCACCTCTCCCTTTCACGGAGGAGCTGGAACAGAAGGATGAAGATTTGAACAGCCTTTGTTCCTCCCCCTTCTTATGCTGTGCAGTCTTGTTCTCAGACTGTAGGTGCACTATGACCTTCTTCTCCATTCTTGGAGTTAGTTTCTTAGGTATGTTCTGTTTTGTCTTTGTTTTCCATGTCTTATGACTTCCCTTTTGGCAGAAGCACCTACCACCAAATATTTTGTCCTTCCTCCCTCACTTTACATTGGAGTCCATGTTGATAAGTTTACATAGCAATTGCATTTGAGGGTCAGTATGTTGCATCCACCATGCATGGTGGAGGCTCATGCTTTGGCTTATCATCATTCGACATATTATTTTCTTGATACTCAACATTTGTATTCATTCCTCCCTATTTGGGGGTTGGACTCTGATGCTTTGAGATCTGTGCATTTTTCACAGGCACAGATTTCCCACTTTTGTCTGATATTGACATTTCTCCTCTGTTATCTTTCTTCCATACACCTTATGTTTGAAGCTATCCATTGTTCCTCTGAGAGATTTTTAGGGGATACCCAATCCCTCCTCTTTACCATGTTAGCGTGCTTGTCCTCTTTGGCCCTTTTCTTCCACACTTGGCTTCTTTGTTTATGGGACCTCTTAGGTAAAGACACTCTCTTAACTCATGTTAATCTTCCCCTATCTTTGCATGATTTATGCATGGTTGCCATTTTATTACAAACGGTTTTGGGGGACTTTGGAGTCGAGAATGAAATCTACCCATATGCATACTTCCCTCTCCTCTTTATCCTCACGTTTATCACAACCTTTTCCTGCTCCTGTTCCTCTGTCCTGGCCACCTCCTTCATCTCCTTAATTACCTCTTCCTTCCTCAAGGGTCGTACATTCACAGTGTACTATTGTTCCCTGCCAACCCGCACGCCGCCAACAGTATAGGTGACTTCAAATTCCATGACGAGAAACCCACTTTGAGACTAATAATGGTTGGAGATGGCTTGAATGGGTAATGAAGAAAAACTTTAATATAACAGCAAATGTACAACGTTTCGACAACGTTGTACATTTGCTGTTATATTAAAGTTTTTCTTCATTACC